TGAATAGGTGCATCTTGCACTTTTTTGATAATACTTAATATAAAACACCATGTTGCTATATTTGACGTACTTTCACTAAGTATCAAATGAATAGGTGCATCTTGCACTTTTTTCATACTCAAAGGTTTTTATTTCACAACAATTAAGTATCCCTTGCACCTACTTTAAACATGTTTATAGAACTTTCTCTGAAAGTTTCATGATTTAGTCAGCACATCTCACTAATACTTTACTAAAAGAAACCTCACTATTCAATATTGAATGGTTATAAACCGAACTTTATGGTACAATGTGTCACTGATACTTTATTAGAAGAAAACCTACTACTTAATTTTGAACGACAAGAAACACAAACTGACCTTTACAGTTTTCATAATATAACATCTAATATGTTATGTGTATCATTACAAAATTTTGCAAGTTTTCAGTAAACACTATAAGACATAAAAAAAATCAGAATTTTTAATGGAGTATTTACACCAAAAATATCTTCATAAATATATGGAGTCAAAGTGTTGACTCCTTTGAGTGCAAAGTGATTTTCATGTTACGATTAAAAATACTTTGCTTCATTGCTCCACTTGCATAATCTCTAAACCTCCTTGACAAATTTCAAGTGTTTTTCAGTAAAATTTTATATTTTATTTGCCGTTTTCTCTACCCATGAGGTTGGTTAATTTGACTGACCCAAAACAAACCCAAAAAAAAACATAATAAAACTAAATTATCCTTATTCCTTTCTAGAATGACTTCAAATTGTAAGATGAAACTACATGTGTTTATCCTAAATAGATTTATATTTGTAACAGTATACATTTGTTTCTACTTAGATTTCATTGTGTTATTGCCCTTTGAACAGTGTCGAATTAATAATTTTGCCATACAAGTTGTAAATCACTTGGCAAACATATAACTCCCATTACACTATCGAATTATAATAATGCACGGGCCACTCATTAGCACACCTCATTATAATTTATCATTATTATTTTTTTTTACTTTACCTAATCTAACCTAAAAAGTTTCTGATTTTTACATTATAATTACTTTTATAATAATAATAATAAAAGAATACACACGAAAAACAAAAAATATAGTACTTACCTAGGTGTTTTTTTTGCTGTTGACTGATGATGAAACTTAACCCTACTTTTTTATATTAATTTTACTACAGCAATCAAATAGTTTTTTATTTAATTAATATAATGTACCAAATAACACAGAATAATAACACGCAAAATGCAGACAGTGTTCTATAACTATCACAATATTTCTGCCTTTCTAACTACAAGTACCATTAAAAATTCAGCTATGCTCATCAACGTGTATTCCATGGGAAAAAAAAGTTTGAACTGGAAGCAAAATAGACAATACTCTGTACAGAAAACAATGTAATATAATACATCATTTGATAGATTAAAAACCTTGGCTTTCTATTGTTTATAAAAAGAGAACTACTGGAAATTTGTGAAAGAGAGGATGAAACAGGTTGGCATGGCAGGAGGGGTCTGTTTTTCTAGTTTTATGGCTCTGAAACCAAATAACATTAAAGGCTATAGAAATTATGTTTTGTCTGAGCAATGAAAACAATATAATAAGTAATTTATGTCAAATTTTGTACTTCTTGGAGGTATGGTAAATAAAGTAAAGAGGGAATGCCTCGTAAGCAAACTTAAAACCTATATAATGTTAAAATGTGGATAATCGGATACATTGTAATGCCAAGTTTATTTGCATACCATGACAATAAAGTACTTTAAATTTTGAATGTAACTTAGTAGAACCTTGTAACATGCACAGAAAATGATAGCCATATGAAAAGAGTTAATCAAGTTAACCCTCTGCCTATGCAACATTTACTGTACGTGTCACAAGGTTTCAGTCACTTACATTCAAAATTTTATTAAACTACTTTTTGTTTGTTATACTAATTAGTATAGCATAAAATTGTAGGTAATAATCCATATTTAAATAGTATACAAGTTTTAAGTATTTAATTTTATAAGGCAATATCTAAAAAAATTCTGAATTTTCCCTAATGTGAGAAATGTGACATTTTCTCTAGGCTTCCTCTCTTCTCTATTTAATTCACCACCCCTCCAATAAGTACGAAATTTATCTTAAATTACTCACTATAATATCACCATTACTTAGACAAACCATAATTTTTATAGCCTTCAATTTTGTTTGGTTGCAGAGCCTTCAAATAGAAAATGAAACCCCTCTCGCCAGCCACACCCACCTGTCACATCCTCTATTTCAGGATTTCTTAATGGGTCTATCTTACGTTTATTTCTATATTATCTATAACTAACGTGTAACAAATAGACAGCCAAGGTTTTCATCTATCAAATGACGTATTATATTACTTGTTTTCTGAATGCAGAATTGTCAATCTCACTGTTAGTACAAGCTTCATTCCCATGGGAAAGATAACAGCAATATTTTTTAATCAAGTTAATCCTATTCACCATTCAGAAGATTCTTCTCCTTCAAAGAGAGCCAAGAATAAATAGTCATTGTCTTGCATCACTAAAGGCATTAGTGCAAGTAACCAAACCTTCAAGACCCACACTGAATATCACCACAACTGAAATCTGATAAAACATAGGAGTGAGATAGTGTCAGATGAATTGGTAATAAGGATTTAATCCCTTTCCAGTTTGAAAGTTTCTTGAGTCGGAAGAGCTGGTCTGAGGACATAGAGAGAATGAGAAAATGGACTGTGGACAAACAGAGCAAATCACTCCAATTGGTGATGTCTGTAAGTCAGTAGTTAGGAAAAATAAACCATAAGGTAAAGGGATACATGGCATACAAGAGTCAGGTCACAAACAGGTGTTAAGGAAAAGCATGTAATGCAACCTTAACATACTTGTTATGTAATTGGAATGGTCATTTGGAAACAATGACCCAAAGTGACTTGGGGAATCAGGAGAGTACTGGGAACTCAAAAAATATGTAGTAACAATAATCGTACGGTAGTCAATAAGGCTGCATTAAACAGGTCAATGTGGAAGATGAAAAAACAACGCCAAAGAGCCAGATCCAAAAACGAATTATGGTTGGAACTTCAGACTGAAATTTGTTCAACCTCCTTTCAATACACCACTGCTAATATGTGTCATTTCTGTTGATAAATACTCATTTTGGATTAAGCAAAAGCTGAGACATGTACATGCTAACCTTAGAAGTTAAACTCCGATGCCATGATAAAGACTGAAACTTGAGTATCTGCACAGCAGGGTGTACAATGTCAGATCAAGGTTGCAAGAAGATGTGGAAGAGGTGGACACTCCAGAAGGTACAGTGAAAACAGAAATCAGACTGTAGCAGCCAAACATGACCCGACAATGGGTTGGAAAAAATCATATTTCACACACTGGGTAACATATGAAGTGGAGAGAAGGCATAGAGTTTTAATCTCATCCTATCCTGATATAATGCATCTACTGCTAAAGCTCAAAAATGAGTAACTGGATAACAAATGGCTAGTGGTTGGGTGATCCAATGAGAAACCAACCCAACAATCAGACCTGCAAAATAAGAACCAATCCAACAGGACCTAGTGATGCAGGATCTACTTCCGTCTGGAGAATCTGTTGGGATTGAGACAATTAAACTGCTATCACAGGCATCATCTGTGGAACAAGGCAAGCTAGTACAGTAATAAGATAGGAATGACCCCAAAAAAGAAAGTCTAACATTTGAATATAAGGAGCCCTGGACCAAGTGCCTCCTCGATGAGAAACACAAGGCACAGAATTGTCAGAGTGAAGTCTGACGATTTTTCTCTTAATAAGCCCAGACCATGAGGCATTAACTGTTGAAGAGCAAGAAGAACAAAAATACTGAGTAGAAAATCCTCTTCATCAGTGCATAGACGTTGGAATTCCTGACTGTTGATATATGCACCCCCATCCCTCAAGTAAAGTATTTGTGAAAAGATAAAAATCTGGACTAGGTGGCAGTAGAGGAACCCATATCATAGAAGTGTTCCAACAGAGCAATCCCTCGAGATTGAAGAATGATCCCAACTAAGGAACTGGGGAACCAGTGAATTGATGTTTATGATCTCTTGCTTGCATAAGAAGTAGCACAACTCTCTCAATACCCCCAGACCAACCAAACTCTAATAGTCCTAGAACTAAGTTCCAAATCCCAATAATGTGCAGGAAATGGAAACACTACAAATTGGGTGGATATTACTGGTGAAGATGTGAAATGAATGACTAATCTTGACTTAAAGACCTGCAGTGCTCCTGGATCCATGGTTAAGATTACCATATGTCCAAAAATTCTTGGAGCCGAGCCATCACATACAATAACCACCGACGCAACTGGCAATCTAACCCAGCAGCAGAACCTGTAGGAGGCGATGAAATTCCAGCCTCCAACTGCAATGGGGAAGAATAAAGAAGGCAAAAACTGAACCAACATGCATGCTAACAATGGATCAAGCTCATCCTCAATGAAGCTGGTGATTTTGAGGCTTCCAACAAAGTAAAGTGAAAGGAAAACACAATGTTGGATTTTAGAGTTGCATATCTGTAAACTTACACTGTCCTAACTCTACCTTAGTACCCCAAA